GACTTAAAGTGAGGGGGAAGTGCTGTTCATTTCTGTTATGCTGAAAGTGCTAGGAAAGGATAACAAATTGAGTATGAGCTTGTGTTGTTGATGTATGGTGCTGTTTTGAATGGGTTATGGAAGAAATTACCCTAGGACCTATGAGTATTCAGTTCAGCCAACTCAAGAACTCAAGGGTAGGAATTGTTTCAATAAATTTGAATGGTTCCAATGGATTTAAAATGTGATTTTGTGTAGGATTATGCTATGGAAGTATGTTTTAATTCATTGAAATCAAATATGGAAATTTAGGAACCAAAAGGGGTGTGTTCGTCCATTTTGGAATTCAGGGACTTAAGGTTGGATTTTGATGGTTTTGATGCTTCCATTGAACTCCTTGGGCATTTTTGTGTAGGGTTATATGGAGGAAGTGAATTTGGAAGCATTAGAAATCAAGTTGGAAATTTTGACATCTTTCCTTGTAAAAAAATTCGTTTCTGTTTTGATCAGGATTTAAGGAAGGGATTTGATTTTGTAAAATTTGATTTGATATTTGAATTCTACATGAAAAATCATGTAGGAATGGCCAAGGGGGTTTCTTGAATCAAAGGGAAAACAATTAGGCCAAAAATCCAAAGAAAAAGGGTTTAATGTTTAAGTAATGTGGAATGTGTTTGAATAATTGTTGAATGATTGGAATTGGTATTGGTTTGATAGGTACCTTGCCAAATACTCAAGAAAACATCTTGAACTTAAAGGAAATCAAGGACCAAGTACCAAAAGGTAGCATTGAATTACATTTGATTGCTTTCTTGCTTACATTGATGTGTTAATGTGTATGTGTGCAATGTGTGCCATGATGTGACTAAGCTTTATTGCAAATGTTGATTGCAATGTTTGAAGTATGTTGCCTTGGCATTATGTCTATTGAATATGTGTATGATAGCTTACTTTCCATGGCATAAAAGCATGAACACATAAGCAAGATAAATGCACAAAAACATTGCACGTAGTGTTTGCAGGAATGCATGATAAATTGTGATTCCTTGCTACTGGGATTTCTTTGAAATCTCACTCTTATGTTTAACACCACCTAGGAGGGAGTTCAAGCAAGGGCAAAGGCAAGGAAGTTGTCACGGAGGTCTAATGAACAATCAATGTACTCTAGTGTCAATGTTGGAACTTGTTATGTAATATTTTGACTTTGGAAATGTTTGTTGGATAATAGCTCCTAATGGGAGTCAAGCATGTATGCTTATGTTCAAACATGTGAAAGTATAGTAGAATGTATGTTCAAGCATGTGTTAAGTCCCACATGATTAAGAATGGGTAAAAAGTTAAGAAAGAGCCAAAACAAGGATAATTAGGGGATAACTTTTGACTAGAAAGGACCAAACTTGGTGCATACAAAATAAATAGCAAATGTTTGAATCTGGATTTGAAATTTGGCAGACTTATAGATCATATTTTTAGCTTTAAATCAAGTGGTAGATCACTAAATTTGGAAGTTTGTGGAAAGAGTTATGCCCTTTCAAAGTTGGGCAAAAATACTAATAATTTCAGAATTTACCCAAATGAACAGTACATAATTGCGTGGAAACTGGTATTGATCTGTGAGAAATTGATACCTATGAATATTTTTTCTATGTAGAGCATTCCATAAGCTTCACGTGAGACTTGGAACCACTCTGTTTTGATTTTTCTACATTTAATTATGATTTTTCAAAGTTGACCTGATTTTTAGGGGTTACATGAATAGTAACCGAAATAAAAATCTTAATTTTTGGTTTTTACCTACTTTGAGCATCATATAATGATAAGAAATGGTTCCAAATGACGTATAATGGGATTCAAAGTGAAGGTGTGACATTTTTGGTATCAGAGCAAAGGTTCTGGACTATCTTTTAGATGTACTGTTCGATATGGTAATGCATTAGGATAATGCATATTTGATTGTGTGTGATGTGTTATGTCATGAAAGGTGTGCATTGGACTAACCTTGATGCAGGATATGGCTTGTTGTGAGCCCGATTCTCCTGGGGGTACAGTTGATCAGAGAGGGCCAGGGGAACCATACCCGGACTGGTACCACCCACATGTTTCTGACCCTGATGACCCGACTCCACCACCCGGATATTATCAGCCTCTCTGGGAGGTAGAGGATATAATTCCTGAGGTAGACTCCAATGGTAGTAAAAGGTTAGAGGATGATGAAGCCGGGAGTGCGGTAGGGCCTAAATCTAACCCGGATAAAGCGGGCCCCAGTGGGACGAAGCCACAGCCCCTCAGAGTAGTGCACCATGATCAGATCTTAGAGAAGGACCTGCCTCCGAAGAAGAGGCAGCGGTTAGTCACAAAGGAGCTGCACACCTATCAGGCCATTTTTGAGGAGCTCTGTGAGCTGGGGAGGCAGATTGACATCTCCCAGAACCAGTATGGGTACATTTATATGGACTATTTTTACTATGTACGACTACTACATACTGATATCACTGACCAGGACGAGGGAGAGATAGATGAGGAGATGTGGGGACAGGCCTTAGTTGACTCTTTGCCAAGGACCCCTGTTTGGCAGGATCAGATCCAGTTCGTTAGTGACCGCTCCAAGCAAGGTGCCTATGAGAGCTTTGATCAGATCCTGGACGAACTGGAGCTTTTTGTTACTTCTTATTTTCCTTTCTCTCCCATGTCTTAAGTGGATGACTGTATATGTGACTTGGATGATCTATGTTTTGGATACTTATACCTGAAACCTATCTATGTACAAATATGAAGCATAGCTTAGTATAAAATATTTTGATGACTAAGTAATAATCTTATTCCTCTGTTCCTCTTGTAGTAACAAGTTAAGTAAAATGGTGAGAACCTGAAGAGAAACACAACCAAGGGAGGCAGTAAGAGAACCTCCTATTGACCCGATTCAATTGGTTATGGACCGACTAGAGGAACAGTAGAAGGTGATGCAAGAAATTCAAGCAGCCCAAGCATGCCAAGACCAGGAACGCGATGCTGCCATAGCAGCCGTAGTGACAGCAGCGATAGCACAGCTGCAACAGGCCGAACTAAGAGTGGCCGAGGCACCACAGCCAGCTCAACCCCAAGAGCCGGCAGTAGAGCAGGTGCGACCTGCAGGGGATCCTGATTCACTAAGACAGTGGATCAAACGATTCAGTGCACAGAACCCTCCGAGCTTCACAGGGACATTGAATGTCCAAGTGGCCGAGGACTAGATTACTCGGTTAGAGAAGATTTTTAATGTACTTGAATGTTCCTCTGAGAGAAAAGCTCAGATGGCTATCTATAAACTGGAGGGCGAAGCTGATCGCTGGTGGAAGAACACCGAGATGATCCTCCAAGAGAATGCAACCCCTATTACCTGGGAAGTGTTCAAGGAACACTTTAATTTGAAATACTTCCCACTGTCAGTAAGAGACGAAAAGGAGGTGGAATTTCTGATGATTCAGCAAGGTCCCCGAGAGTCCTTTGATGAGTACCTAGATAGGTACATGAGGCTCTCTCGTTACTCTAACTACCTCCAACTCCGCAATGATGAGCGGTGGAAAACAGAGAAAATGATAAGGGGACTAAGGCAGGAGCTGAGGGAGAAGGTAGCCCCACGGCAACTTGAGAAGTTTAATCAGGCAGTGGAAGCCTGCCGGATTACTGAAAGTAGCCTGAACCACCAGGCACTAGTCAGGGCCGCTCCTAGACCAGAAGGACTAGCAACAAGGGGTGGACCAAGGAGGGCTTCTTCTAGAGGAAATAGAAAGAGGCGAAAGCCTATGTTTTCCAAGAAGTTTAAACGAGGAGGAGGAGTAAGGCAAGGAGGAAGCAGCACTACGCGCCAGACCAAGGAATGTAGCATCTGTGGTAAAAACCATGGAGATCGACCATGTTTGATGGGTCAAAACGTGTGCTTCCGATGCGGTAAGCGTGGACACTATATAAAGGAGTGCCCTCTTAATGTGGATGGCTCGAGGCCCCAAGCTCAAGGGAGGGTTTTTGCCCTCACAAGGGAAGAGGCTGATAAGTCGCCTGAGATGATACAAGGTACGATTCAAGTTAATAATTACCTTGTGCATGCTATGTTTGACTCGGGTGCTAGCCACTCCTTTATTGCATATGATTGCGCAAAGTGTATAGGCCTTGATGTTAACACATTACTATATGATCTATGTGTGGCTACTCCTACGGGCACTAAAGTTTATACGTCTGATGTTTGCCTAAATTGTATTGTCCGGTATGCCCATTGTTGCACTACACTTGACCTAATATGTATGCCTTTCCATGAGATTGACGTGATACTTGGTCTGAATTGGCTGTCTACCCATAATATACTCCTTGACTGTAAGAATAGGACTTTGATTTTTCCTCCCCATGAGCTAACCCCTCATACCGAGGTGAAACTGAACTTGATCACGGGAGCCCAAGCCGGGGATTGCCTAAGACATGGCTGTCAGGGGTACGTGGTATTCTTCTCTGTACATGCGGAAGTGGAAGAAGGCATAACAGAGATACCCGTGGTATGTGATTTTCCGGAAGTCTTTCCGACAGAAATTAGCGGGTTACCTCCAGAGCGAGAGGTAGAGTTTGCAATTGACCTAACACCTGGAGCAGGACCGATTTCCAAAGCGCCTTATCGTATGGCTCCAAATGAAATGGCAGAATTAAAGAAGCAGTTAGAGGAGCTATTAGAAAAGAATTTTATTCGACCCAGTGTGTCACCATGGGGAGCACCCGTCTTGTTCGTCCGTAAGAAGGACGGTAGCCTAAGGTTGTGCATTGATTACCGGGAGCTCAACAAAGTGACGATTAAAAACAAGTACCCACTACCTCGAATAGACGATTTGTTAGATCAACTAGTTGGTGCCATAGTGTTTTCCAAGATCGACTTGAGATCAGGTTACCATCAACTGAGGATTAAAGCAGAGGACATTCCAAAGACTGCTTTCTGAACACGGTATGGGCACTATGAGTTCTTGGTAATGCCCTTCAGATTAACGAATGCCCCTACGATTTTCATGGATTACATGAACAGGATCTTTCGGCCATATCTAGATCAGTTTGTGGTGGTTTTCATTGATGATATCTTAGTATATTCCAAGTCACTAGCGGAACACGAACAGCATTTACGGATCGTTCTAAGTATTTTGAAGGAGAAACGGCTATATGCCAAACTTAGCAAGTGCGAGTTTTGGCTGAATGAAGTAAAGTTCTTGGGTCATGTGATTGCCCAAGATGGAGTAGCAGTGGATCCCAGTAAGGTGGAAGCAGTTCTAAATTGGGAGCAACCAAAAACAGTAACAGAAATACGAAGCTTTCTGGGATTGGCAGGTTACTATAGAAGATTTATTAAGGATTTTTCAAGAATTGCACAGCCCTTGACTAAACTTACACGTATGAACCAGCAATTCGTGTGGGATGATAAATGTGAGGCTAGCTTCCAAGAGCTTAAACGAAGGTCGACCTCAACCCCTGTGCTGATAATTCCCGATCCAACCCTACCGTATGTTGTATATACCGATGCTAGCAAGCAAGGATTGGGGTGTGTATTAATGCAGCAAGGACGAGTAGTCGCCTACGCCTCACGACAGTTAAAGTCTCATGAAGAGAATTATCCCACTCACGACCTAGAATTAGCTGCAATATTTATGCCTTAAAAATCTGGAGGCATTATCTATATGGGGCAACCCTTGAACTATATTGTGATCATAAAAGTCTCAAGTACCTGCAGGATCAAAAAGAACTAAACATGAGGCAACGACGATGGATGGAGTTGCTCAAGGATTATGATTACCAGATAAAATACCATCCAGGCAAGGCTAATGTGGTAGCTAATGCCTTAAGCCGAAAGGTAGTACAAGTAGCATTCCTAATGATTCAGGAACGAAAACTCATCGAAGATGTGAGGGATTGGGAACCTTTGTTCCATATGAAACTAATGACCCAGAAAGTAGAAGTGACAAGAGCAGAAGCCCAACTGATAAAGCAAATCAAAGAGGCCCAGAAGAGCGATCCGATAGCTGATACACTTCGGATTAAGCTAACAAAAGCTGAGGATGAAGCGATCGAAGTGTCACCAGATGGAATATTGAAGTATAAGGAACGGGTATATGTTCCGGAGTCCATCAGGCAACAGCTATTGGAGGAGGCACATAAGAGCAAATATACGATACATCCGGGAATGACAAAGATGTACCAGGACCTCCGACGTATGTTTTGGTGGCCTGGCATGAAGAAGGACATAACAGAGTATGTATCTAAATGCCTTACTTGCCAGAAGGTCAAAATGGAGCATCAGAGACCGTCAGGGCTTTTACATCCTCTAAATATTCCGGAATGGAAATGGGATAGTATCTCCATGGATTTCATCATGGGGTTACCCCGTACCTCATCTGGATATGACGCGATATGGGTGATTATTGACCGATTAACGAAGTCTGCCCATTTTTTGGCAATAAAGAAAGATTACCAACCAGAAAAACTTGCCAAGTTATATATAAGAGAAATTGTGAGATTACATGGAGTGCCAGAGTCGATTGTATCTGATCGAGATCCTCGATTTCTATCTCGATTCTGGAAGGCACTGCAGCAAGCAATGGGCACCAAGCTAAGCTTCAGTACAGCATATCACCCACAGACAGACAGTCAGACAGAGCGAACCATACAGACACTGGAAGATATGTTGAGAGCCTGTGTATTGGATTTCAAAGGTAACTGGGATGACTATCTGCCGTTAGCAGAATTTGCTTACAATAACAGTTATCACTCCAGTATACAGATGGCTCCGTATGAAGCTTTATATGGTCGCAAGTGCAGATCCCCACTGTGTTGGACAGAATTAGGGGAGCGACAGCTATATGGGCCAGACCTAGTCGAGCAAACAACTAGAGGATAAGGTCGATTAGACAGAAACTGCTCACGGCCCAAAGCAGACAAAAAAGTTATGCGGACGTTCGACGAAAGTCTTTAACCTTCGATATAGGAGACCATGTGTTCTTGAAAGTGTCTCCGACAACGGGAGTAGGAAGGTCTTTGAAATCGAAGAAATTGTCACCAAAATACATCGGACCTTTCCAAATTCTATCAAAAGTAGGACCGGTGGCATATAAAGTGGCCCTACCCCCGAATCTTAGTCAGATACATGATGTCTTCCATGTATCCCAGTTAAAGAAGTATCAGCCAGATCCCTCTCATGTTTTGGAATATGAAGATATCGCACTGCGAGATGACCTAACCTGGGAGATCAAACCAGTAAAGATCATTGATCGTCAAGTAAAGCAACTGCGGCAAAAATCCATCCCAATGTTAAAGTCATATGGGAGAATCTGGCACAAGAAGAAGCAACTTGGGAGAAGGAAGACGACATGAAAGATAATTATCCCGAACTCTTCGAATAAGGTACATTTTAAATTTCGAGGACGAAATTTATTTTAAGGGGGAGGGAAATGTAACATCCCAAAATTTGAAACCCTAGTAATGGGAATGTGAGAAATGAGATATGATTGATAAGCATAAGGATGAGTAAAGCATGGAAACCCAAAATGGGACGAAACTGACTTTATCGGATCCCTAGGGGCAAAATGGTAATTTTGAGAAAAGTTCTAAAAAATTCCCTAAAAATAGAAAAGGTGGAATTAGAGGTTTTTGAGTCACCTATGATGTTTTGGGAGTGAGAATGGCCCAAAATAAATTTTGGTGAAAATTCCCAAAAAAATTAATTATTTTTGGGAAAATAGGGAAAAATAAAGGGGAATTAAAGTGATATAATTATTTTAATTACCTAAGGACTCCAAAAATTCAAGGAAAAATATGGATACACTCCCTAGGAATATTTATGAATTTATAAAATTGTTTCCAAGCATTGGAAATGCAGAAAATAATTTATGGGGAATTTACTTCTGAATTCCTATCGGTAAAGACCCGATTTTAGAGAAAATGTGAAATAAATACCTAGAGGTCTTGAAAAATTCCCAAAACTTCCAGATCCCACTTTGGAATAAATATAGAATTATCATGAAAAGAAATGGAATTTTTGAAGCCCCTAGCTATTTTTCCTAGTAGAGGGCAAGAAATCGGGTATTATGTGACCAAATGAATTTTTAAATTACCCTAACCAATTCCATTGCTTCCTAATCAGTTTTTACCATTTAGTTAGCATCCAACAAGGCCCAAATTCGTGCTCATTATGATCAGAACAGCTGGCTTGTGTGCTGGGCAAATTTTTAACCATTGGATCAACTCTCTTGGAAAGTAAGTCAAAGCATGTGTGGCTAGGATTTGTCCTTCATTTTGGCCGACCTTAGCACTTAATTTGGGGCAGAAATAGCTGCCCAAGGGCAGGTTTTTGGGCAGCAAATGAGCTCTATAAATACCCCCACAAGGCACTCAAAATTCGGACAAAATTGGGACAATAGAGGGGAGGTTCTGCACAACTTTCTTCTTGGCTTCCAAACACTCCTTAAATCACCTCCAATCCAAGGTTTATCATCAAGCTTTAATCCAAGACTCCTTGAGGTATGTTTAGGCTTTAATTTGATGCTTTTTCCTTGGCCAAACCGTGACTTAAAGTGAGGGGGAAGTGCTGTTCATTTATGTTATGCTGAAAGTGCTAGGAAAGGATAGCAAATTGAGTATGAGCTTGTGTTGTTGATGTATGGTGCTGTTTTGAATGGGTTATGGAAGAAATTACCCTAGGACCTATGAGTATTCAGTTCAGCCAACTCAAGAACTCAAGGGTAGGAATTGTTTCAATAAATTTGAATGGTTCCAATGGATTTAAAATGTGATTTTGTGTAGGATTATGCTATGGAAGTATGTTTTAATTCATTGAAATCAAATATGGAAATTTAGGAACCAAAAGGGGTGTGTTCGTCCATTTTGAATTCAGGGACTTAAGGTTGGATTTTGATGGTTTTGATGCTTCCATTGAACTCCTTGGGCATTTTTGTGTAGGGTTATATGGAGGAAGTGAATTTGGAAGCATTAGAAATCAAGTTGGAAATTTTGACATCTTTCCTTGTAAAAAAATTCGTTTTTCTGTTTTGATCAGGATTTAAGGAAGGGATTTGATTTTGTAAAATTTGATTTGATATTTGAATTCTACATGAAAAATCATGTAGGATTGGCCAAGGGGGTTTCTTGAATCAAAGGGAAAACAATTAGGCCAAAAATCCAAAGAAAAAGGGTTTAATGTTTAAGTAATGTGGAATGTGTTTGAATAATTGTTGAATGATTGGAATTGGTATTGGTTTGATAGGTACCTTGCCAAATACTCAAGAAAAAATCTTGAACTTAAAGGAAATCAAGGACCAAGTACCAAAAGGTAGCATTGAATTACATTTGATTGCTTTCTTGCTTACATTGATGTGTTAATGTGTATGTGTGCAATGTGTGCCATGATGTGACTAAGCTTTATTGCAAATGTTGATTGCAATGTTTGAAGTATGTTGCCTTGGCATTATGTCTATTGAATATGTGTATGATAGCTTACTTTCCATGGCATAAAAGCATGAACACATAAGCAAGATAAATGCACAAAAACATTGCACGTAGTGTTTGCAGGAATGCATCATAAATTGTGATTCCTTGCTACTGGGATTTCTTTGAAATCTCAGTCTTATGTTTAACACCACCTAGGAGGGAGTTCAAGTAAGGGCAAAGGCAAGGAAGTTGTCACGGAGGTCTAATTAACAATCAATGTACTCTAGTGTCAATGTTGGAACTTGTTATGTAATATTTTGACTTTGGAAATGTTTGTTGGATAATAGCTCCTAATGGGAGTCAAGCATGTATGCTTATGTTCAAACATGTGAAAGTATAGTAGAATGTATGTTCAAGCATGTGTTAAGTCCCACATGATTAAGAATGGGTAAAAAGTTAAGAAAGAGCCAAAACAAGGATAATTAGGGGATAACTTTTGACTAGAAAGGACCAAACTTGGGGTATACAAAATAAATAGCAAATGTTTGAATCTGGATTTGAAATTTGGCAGACTTATAGATCATATTTTTAGCTTTAAATCAAGTGGTAGATCACTAAATTTGGAAGTTTGTGGAAAGAGTTATGCCCTTTCAAAGTTGGGCAAAAATACTGGAAATTTCAGAATTTACCCAAATGAACAGTACATAATTGCGTGGAAACTGGTATTGATCTGTGAGAAATTGATACCTATGAATATTTTTTCTATGTAGAGCATTCCATAAGCTTCACGTGAGACTTGGAACCACTCTGTTTTGATTTTTCTACATTTAGTTATGATTTTTCAAATTTGACCTGATTTTTAGGGGTTACATGAATAGTAACCGAAATAAAAATCTTAATTTTTGGTTTTTACCTACTTTGAGCATCATATAACGATGAGAAATGGTTCCAAATGATGTATAATGGGATTCAAAGTGAAGGTGTGACACCTGGCCTCTTTTGCTGTGCACCGCTACCCTTCTATTTACTTTTTGCATTGCTATGTAGGAGGAAACTTTTTAAGCTACCTCTGCATCTTTTTCAAGCAAACCTTTACCTTTTTAATATACTCTCATTGCATCAAACAGTTTTTTCTTGAGAATCGTACCATCCTTGGACTTTTAAGAGCATTGATCTTGAAAATGATTTTTCTAAAGACTTTATAGTCACTTTTGAGTTTCAAGTATGTTCTTAAGTG